CACACACACACACATCCTTCCCATCCCCTCCCTCCTACCGTTGGCTTCGAGCGAGAGGGGGCGCTGGGTGGGGCGGGGGACCAGCCGGTCCCCCCGTCTTCGAGGCAGGCTCCTCGATCTCTGCAGCCCGAAGGAGCTCTGGAGAGAGACAGCAAGGGGGTCGACGAGCGGGGTTCACCCCACCCCCAGCCCAGGTACCCCGACACTGCCCGCCCCCAGGGCTCTGCCCCCTCCTAGCCGTCGGGGTGGGGGACAGGAAGGGGCACAGACACAGGCGAGCACAGACACAGAGCAGAGACGGCGGGGACGGGCACAGGACAGACGGACACACACACCTGGACGGAGCTGCGGACGGAGAACACGCAGGCCGGGTCGCGCTGGTCGCAGCCCAGCACCACGACCTTCCGATCCGTCTTTTGGGTGAACATGAGCTGCAGAGACACGGAGACATCGACGTACGGACAGACACACGGACACGGCAGGGGTGGGGCTCCCAGCCCGCCCTGCTCTAACCACTAGCCCCCACTCCCCTCCCAGAACCAGCGAAAGAGTCCAGGTGTCCTGGCTCCCAGCCCCCCTGTTTTGATCAACAGACCCCATTCCCAAGGAGAGAACCCAGGAGTCCTGGCTCCCAGTTCTCCTCGGAGCCACCTCTCTGCAATGCCTGGAACTCACCAGCAGGTGGCAACATGACCCCACCTGCCCAGGTGTGAGGAAGTGGGAATGTTCTGCCTGTCTTCTCTGAAGACACAGTGGGTGCCTCAGTTTCCCCTATGTGTTACTCAAGTTTCTGGTGGTGGGAGGGGAGGGCAGGTGTGACACTGACTGGCTGCCTGGGACAGAGAACTGGCCGGACACGCTGTAGCTTGGCACCTGATGGCCGGGCCCCCTCCTCTGCCAGAATCAGGGGGCGGTGTCCGTGCTGGCCCGGGTCAGAGACAAAGGAACAAGGAGAGGGAACAGGCGGGTCTGGGGCCAGGTCAGGCTCCTGCTTGGGACTCAGAGGGGGGAGTCCAGGGCTCTGGGGCCCCCCACATGGACTTTGCTGCAGGTCCCTTCTCCCTGCGCTCCCAAGCTCTGTTCTACGCTGGGCTCCCGGCTGCGTCACACGCTGCCTGGGAGTCGCTGCTGGCCTGGGTCTCCGGGACACCGGGTCAATGTGTTTCTTAACCAGGGGCTCCCGGCCCGCAGCTGGAGGGACCCAGGCATCCGGGGGGGGGCCAAGGGGGGGCACAGCCTTGGGATACAGCAGAGAAGCTTTGATCTGAATGGGAGCAGGCAGGGGTGGGGGGCCAGGGAGGGGAACTCTAGCGGGTGGGGAAGGGAGAGGTGGGGGACACAGGATGGGGGGGGGGGAGAGAACCTGGCAGGTGGGAGACAGGTAGGTGGGGGCACAGGATGGGTGTGCCGGGGGGACCCCGGCGGATGGGGGTTACCTTGGTGAGCTCCTGGTTACTGACGGGTGAGTCATCTCTGCTCTCGTCTTCACAGACTTTGCCCAGCTCCTCCAGCCGACGCCTCTCCTGGAGACACAGGCCGGGGCAGAGGTCACCTCCTGGGGTCCTGCCCCACCCCCTACCTCGCCCCCCACTCAGCTCCACAGGGTCCTGTCCCATCCCCTGCTCTCACCCACTGGGTCCTGCCCCGCCCCTGGGGTCCTGCCCTGCCCCCCACTCCGATCCACGGGGTCCTGCACTATCCCCTGCTCTCACCCACTGGGTCCTGCCCCATTTCCTGCTCCACCCCATAGGGTCCTGCCCTGCCCCCTACTTAGATCCATGGGCCCAGCCGGCCCGGCAACCCCCCTCCCCCCCACTCTGGGAGGGCAGTGGGGTCTCATGGTTAGAGCAGGAGGCTGGGAGCCAGGACTCCTGGGTTCTATCCCAGGTCTGGGAGGAGAATGGGGGTTAGATGGGGATTGGGGGCTGGGAGCCAGGACTCCTGGGTTCTATCCCAGGTTTGGGAGGAGAATGGGGTTAGATGGGGATTGGGGGCTGGGAGCCAGGACTCCTGGGTTCTTTCCGGGTAGGGGGAGGGTTTCCTCACCAAGTTGAGGCTCTGGACAGCCTCTCCCTTCTCCTGCGCCAGCTTGCGGCACTCGCCCGCCATGTGCTCCTGCACCGAGCGCACCTGGGCCTCCAGCCTGCGCACCTTCCTCTGGGGGGGAACGGGGGAGGGTGAGAGTCCTGCGGGGGAGGCGACACCCCCTCACCCCAAGAGCCCAGGTGTCCCTACCCGGGACTTAGCAAGGGGGAACCCCACCCCTGGGGGCCCCCCTGCATTGAATTGTGGGGACAGCCCCCCACCCAGGAGGTGGGTAAGACCTGGCACCGGATCCCAATGCCCCCCTGGAATGGAGTCAAGGGCCCAGCCCTCCCAGGTGCCATCCAGGAGCAGAGTAAGACCCGGTGCTGGATCATCCTGCCCCCCTGGAATGGGCTCTGGGTGGAGCAGGATCCCCCATGCCCTCTGGAACGGACTCACTGCTCAGGACCCGGATCCTGGCACCCCTGGAATGGATTCCGGGTGCCATTGCCCTGGAGGAAGGTAAGACCTGGATCCCTGTCTCTGGGTCCCCTCCCCCTCTGGATCGCACTCTGGTTGCCGGAAGACCTGGAACAGGACTTTCCGGTCACAACCTGGAGACAGATCCCAGTGCCCCTGGAATGGAGTCGCAGGTTCCACCCCGGGAGGAGGATAAGATATGGAGCCGGATCCCAGTGCCCCTGGAATGGAGTCGCAGGTTCCACCCCGTGAGGAGGGTAAGATATGGAGCCGGATCCCAGTGCCCCTGGAATGGAGTCGCAGGTTCCACCCCGGGAGGAGGGTAAGATATGGAGCCGGATCCCAGTGCCCCTGGAATGGAGTCGCAGGTTCAATATGGAACCAGGTCCTGATGCCCCTGGAATGGAGTCGCAGGTTCCAACCCAGAAGGAGGGTAAGATATGGAACCGGGTCCTGGCACCCCTGGAATGAATTCCGGGTGACACTGTCCCGGAGGAAGGTAAGACCTGGATCCCTGTCTCTGGGTCCCCTCCCCCTCTGGATCGCACTCTGGTTGCTGGAAGACCTGGAACAGGACTTTCCAGTCACAACCTGGAGACAGATCCCAGTGCCCCTGGAATGGAGTCGCAGGTTCCACCCTGGGAGGAGGGTAAGATACAGAACCGGATCCCTGGTGCCCCGGAATGGAGTTGCAGGAGGAGGGTAAGACCCGGAGTGGATCTCTGAGGATTGGCCCCACTCACCTTCCTCTCCTTGAGCCTCTCCTGCACCTGGGCCACCTGGCGGGCCAAGGCCTGGCAGGCCTCCTCCTTCTCCTCTTCCAAGCGGCTCTCACGCTCCAGCTGCTGAAACTCCAGGTCCTCGTAGCTCTTCAGTGCTCCCTCCAGCATCTCCGACGTCTGCAGGGAGGGAGATCCCGTCAGGACTCCTGGGTTCTAACCCAGCTCTGGAAGGGGAGGGGGGTCTAGTGGGTTACAGCGGGGGAGGGGGCTGTTACGTCTGGGCTATATATAAGAATGGCCATACTGGGCCAGCCCAATGGTCCATCTAGCCCAGTATCCTGTCTTCCAACAGGGGCCGATGCTCGGTGCTTCAGAGGGCAGTTACTGAGTGATCCATCCCGTCATCCACTCCCAGCTCCGGGCAGTCAGAGGTTTAGGGACATCCAGAGCAGGGGGTCATGGCCCTGACTACTAGCCGTTGATGGACCTATCCTCCAGGTACTTACTTAATTCTTTTTTTAACCCAGTTATAGTTTTGGCTTTCACAACGTCCCCCGGCAAGGAGTTCCACAGGTTGACTGTGTTGTGTGAAGAAATACTTCCTTTTGTTTGTTTTAAACCTGCTGCCTAGTAATTTCATTGGGTGATGCCTGGTTCTTGTGTTACGAGAAGGAGCAAATAACACTTCCTTATTCACTATCTCCCCTTAGTCGTCTCTTTTCTAAGATGAACAGTCCCAGTCTTCTTAACCTCTCCTCATATCGCAGCCGTTTTATATCCCTAATCATTTTTGTTGCCTTTCTCTGCAAATTTTCCAATTCTAACAGATCTTTTTTGAGATGGGGCGACCACATCTGCACGCAGTATTCAAGGTGTAGGTGTACCATGGATTTATATAGAGGCAATATGATATTTTCTGTCTTATTATCTATCCCTTTCTTAATGATTCCCAACATTCTGTTCACTTTTTTGACTGCCGCTGCACATTGAGTGGATGTTTTCAGAGAACTATCCACAATGACTCCAAGATCTCTTTCTTGAGTGGTAACAGCTAATTTAGACCCCATCATTGTATATGTAGAGTTGGGATTATGGTTTCCAATGTGCATTGCTTTGCATTTATCAACATTGAATTTCATCTGCCATTTGGTTGCCAAGTCACCCAGTTTTGTGAGATCCTTTTGTAGCTCTTCGCAGTCTGCCTGGGACTTAACTCTCGAGTAGTTTTGTATCATCGGCAAATTTTGCCACCTCCCTGTTTACCCCTTTTCTCAGATCATTTATGAATATGTTGAATAGCACTGGTCCCAGTACAGACCCCTGGGGGACACCACTATTTACCTCTCTCCATTCTGAAAACTGACCATTTATTCCTACCCTTTGCTTCCTATCTTTTAACCAGTTACCGACCCATGAGAGCACCTTCCCTCTTATCCCACAACAGGTCACTTTGCTTAAGGGCCTTTGGGGAGGGACCTTGTCAAAGGCTTTCTGGAAATCTAAGTGCACCATGTCCCCTGGATCCCCCTCGGCCAGGTTTGCTGACCCCTCAAAGAGCTCTAATGGAACCCGGCCCCCCTCTGTGCATGTCCCTTCTACGCGTCCCCTCTGGGCCATATCAACCCACGTGGGCCACCCCGGGGTCTCTTCCTCTGGGCCGTAGCAGCCTGCCCAGCTCGACACAGGGTGGGACCTGCTGGGCCGTCCCGTGCCCCTACCTGCTGCAGCTGGCTCTGCATCCGCTCCCGCATGCTCTCGGGCTGGGTCTCCAGGTGGGTCTGGGACTCGGCGTGTTGCCTCTGGAGCTCCTCCACCTTGTGCCGCTCCTTCCCCAGCCGAGCCTTCTCCTGCCGGAGAAGGGCGGGGTCAGGAGCCAGGACACCTGGGTTCCGCGGACACACTCCCCCCCCTCCCCTGGCCAGACACCGTCCCTGACAGGCTGGGGAATAGGGCCAGTTTGGCGGGAGAGGAAGCAAAGAATGCTGGGGACAGGGCCAACCCACAGCAAAGGGTACTGGGAAAGGTGGGCACGCCTGGACAGGAGCAAAGGATTCTGGGATCGAGTGGGCAACGGGGAGAATGGCAAAGGATTCTGGGGAAAATGGGCCAAGGAGGGAGGGAACACAAAGGATTCTGGGAAGAAGCGGACAATGGGGAGGGAGCACAAAGGATTCTGGGAAAAGAGGAGCCCCGCAAAGGCTGCTGGGAGGCACGGAGACTGGGCAGGGGTCTGACCTTCTCTCTCTCGATGTGGCACCGGTGCACCGTCTCCGCGAACCTCCTCTGCAGCTGCAGGACCAGCTGCTCCTCGCGCTGAACCTCCCGCCACTCGGCCGCCAGCTCCCCCTCCAGCAGCGCCCCCTCCAGCTTCATCTGCCGGGAGCAGGGGGGGGTTAGACCCGGCGCCGCAGGGATCGGGGCCCACAGCACAGAGCCAACAGCGGGCAGCTCCCGCCCGCGATAGCCCACCAGACCCCACTCCTCTCCCACAGCCGGGAATGGAACCCAGGCGTCCTGGCTCCCAGCCCCTCCCGCTCTAACCCACGAGACCCCACTCCCCTCCCAGAGCCGGAGAGGACCCAGGCGTCCTGTCTGCACAGCTCAGTGTTTTCCCTCTCCCCAAACCCAGCTGCTCCTGCTGCGATTGTAGCAGGGACCCACCCAGCCCCTCCCCACCTGGCTGGGCGCGGTGCCCCGGCGAGACAGGTTTGCCAGGTGCCGGCAGCGGGGAACGCCCCCCACCCCCACCCCCCAGACATCCCCGTGACTCAGGGAGGGGAGCCCGGGGACGGACGCACCTCCATGTTCATCTCCTTCTGCTGGTGCTGCAGCTCCTTGATGCAATTCTCCAGCTCCGCTACCCGGCCCAGCGCCTCGTCCTGCTCCCCCCGCAGCCGGGACCCCTCCGCGCCCGCCTGGGGGCTCTCGTCCTGGGCAGGGGAGAGTGGGAGTGAACCAGCCCTGTCGACAAGGGGACCCCATTCCCTGCCCCCCGAGCCAGCCAGTTCCCTGCCCTGGGGCCGGATGGGAACCGGCGCCCCCTCGAGGGGACAGGCCCCATGTCACATTCCCTGCCCCCCTGAGCCAGCCAGTCCCTGCCCTGGGGCCGGATGGAAACCGGCGCCCCCTTGAGGGGACAGACCCTATGTCCCATTCCCTGCCCCCGTGAGCCACCCAGTCCCCGCCCTGGGGCCGGATGGGAGCCAGCATCCCCTCGAGGGGACAGACCCAGGGCCCCATTCCCTGCTCCCCTGAGCCTGCCCTGGGGCCGGATGGGAGCTGGAGCCCCCTAGAGGGGACAGGCCCCATGCCCAATTCCCTGCCCCCTGAGCCAGCGGGTCCCCCACCCTGGGGCCTAGAGGGGACAGGCCCCGCGCCACTCACCCCGTTCTGGGCACTCTCCGTGCTGCTGGCCTCGTCCTCCTCAGGGCTGTCGCTCGTGGCTCCCCCGGGGCCGGAGGAGAGACAATCGGCACCACCCACCGGCTGGGCCCGGACCGGCTCGGGGCCCTGGGCTGGAAATGGCCCCCTCCGCCTGTCCTGCCCCGCGGGGACCAGGACAGGGCATCGTGAGGTCTGGCTCAGCCCCGCCAGGGGCTCATTCTCCGGGAGAACCATGGCCAGAGACCTGCAACAGCAAGGGAGAGGAGGCGCTAGGGGGCACTGGGCTGCAGGGGGCCGGGTGGGGGGCTCTGCCCTGGCCCCGATGCCTCAGCTCATGTGACTCCTTTCTGGTTCCCTAAATCTCCCCGTATAACCAGCCCCCACACCCCACCCCAGAGGTGGCCGCATCTCAGCGCCGGGCAAGGGGTCCCTGTATTAATAGCCCCACCCCAGAGGTGGCCGCATCTCAGCCCTGGGTGAGGGGGTCCCTGTATCAATAGCCCCACCCCAGAGGTGGCTGCATCTCAGCACTGGATGAAGGGTCCCTGCATAAACAGCCCCCATTATAAGTGTTAACCCCAGGGACTCCCTGCCACTGGATATTACAGAGAGTGTCCCTTGCAGAGGTCCTGCCTTTGTCATTTCCCCGAGTCCTGCCCCTGGGACGAAGCCGAAGGCAGCCCAAAAGCGACCCTCCGGCACTCGGAACAGCTCTGCTGATAAAAAGCCGAACTGTCCCCATGGGTGTGGGGCCACCCTGCAGCAGGCAGACGGCCCCGTCCTCAATGCGCCATTCCTGCCCCAGAGGTGGCACCTCCCTGGATCTCTGGGGCGGGGGGACCGGGGAAGAGACGCCCGGCCTGGGCGAGTCCCAAGAGTGGGCCAAGCCCGGAGCAGGGAGGGGAATTTTCCGCTGGGCAGGCGAGAAGAGGGGTTTGTTTGCTCCAACAGGACAAAAGGAAATGATCAGCCCCTGCCCCCCGAGCCAGCCAGTCCCTCCCTGCCTGCCAGTTGTCCCCACTTCCTCACGGAACCCCCCCGGGGCTCTCGGCCCCTTGCCAAACTTGGGATGCAGCCACCTCTGGGGCGGGGCATGGGGCTTGTTATGCAGGGACCCTTCCGAGGCGCTGAGATGCAGACACCTCTGGGGGGGGGGGGGGGGAGCTGGTTATACAGCAACCCCTCGCCCGGTGCGAAGATGCAGCCACTTCTGGGGTGGGGCGTGGGGGCTGTTAATAAAGAAGTCACTTACCCAGCAGCTCCAAATTAGCAACAACCACATGCCAAAATGATTCCCCCTGCTGTCAAACAGGACACAGAAATTCTCCTTCACTTCCTGTCCCAAAACCTGTGGCAGGGCTGTTCACCAGATGCCATGTTTCTCCCCAGAGGTGGCCGCATCTCAGGGCTGCGCGAGGGGTCCCTGTATAAACAGCCCCCGGGTCCCACCCCAGAGGTGGCCACATCTCAGCACTGAGTGAGCATTCCCTGTATAACCAGCCCCAGTGCCCCACCCCAGAGGTGGCCGCATCTCCATGCTGTGTGCATTGGACAGGCTCTGTAGCAGGGAAAAATCACCTTGACCCTGGTTCACCCCGGCATTGGCACCTTCCGCTTTATCTCCAGTGCTAGATTGTCCCCACTTGAACCGGCGCCAGGGGCTGGCACTGCCCGGCCGGGTGCTGTGAATAGCAAAGGGGGTCAGAATTTTCCATGGGCTGGGGCAAACTGCTGATGTGGGGGCTGGGACGATCCTGGTCCCACGTGGGGGGGGGGGGGGGGGGGGGGGCGGGGCGCGGGGGGGGTGGGGGGGGGGGGGGGGGGGGGGTGGGGGGGGGGGGGGGGGGGGGGGGGGAGGATGCTCCAGCCGGTCTGTCTGAGGATCTCAAAGCACTTCAATATTGATTGATCTGTTCTGACAGCACTTCCACCGCCCCCTTCCCCCAGGGGATCATTTTTTCTGTTTGCTAGAAACGAGTCTTGGCTCCCAGCCCCCCCCCCCCACTCTAACCACTAGATCCCACTCCCCTCCCAGAGCCGGGGAGAGAACCCAGGAGTCCTGGCTCCCAGCCCCCCCACTCTAACCACTAGATCCCACTCCCCTCCCAGAGCCGGGGAGAGAACCCAGGAGTCCTGGCTCCCAGGCCCCCATTCTTTCCATTAATTAGCCCAGCAATCAATCAAGGGGCTCTCCCTTCACGAACCCGCCCCCCAATGAGGGCCACAGCCCCGGCCCCACTCACCCCGCAATCCGTGTGTGTGGGGGGGGGGCGATCCCTGGATTTCTCCAGGCCCCTCCTCCCTCTGCTCCCAGGACGCAGGCAGAACCCAGGTGTCCGGGAGTTGCTGTAGGAACTGGGGAAGAGAAGCAGGGTCAGGCGAGCCATGGGGGGAAGGTCACGAGCC